TAAGAACAAATATGTCTACAAGGAAAAGATCTGGGTGACATGGAAGCATGTGACAAACATGTTGACATTTCGAGTTATAGGTAAATTTAGAAATGTTCTAAAATATATTTAAAAGTCTCTCCAGTCAAAATTGTTTCATTGTGTTCAACTATGAAATCTTATTCCTCCCCAGTAGGAAGCACCATATCCTGGAAAGAAAATTAGATTCGGAATCAGGATTTAGGTTTAAAACCTGGTGCTGCCATTCACTACCTGTGTGACCTTTGGCAAGTGACTTAACTTCTCCAGGTCTAAGTTTATGCATCTGAAAAATGAAGGTGTTGGACTAAATGACTTCCAAGATCTATTCTAGGTTCCAATAAAATCTGAACCTTGAAAATTTACTTGTTTGAATTAAGTGTTCAAAGAGCATTTCTTCTCTAACCAAAAGCGGATTATATTCCTCATCTCACTAAAATGAAAACCAAATACTAGCAATTCAAATCTTCCTAAAAAGTTTATATCTACACTATTGTCACAAAATGTTTGCCAAGAGACTACTTTTCTATCAAGATATAAATGAAAATGGAATTACAAATTTTCTTGCAAATGGCATATTATCTAAAAATTGACCCATTTAAAAAAAGTCTTTACAAATATTTTAAGTATTACATGAGAAATGTACTTGCTTTGATTATTTCAAGGATTTAAAACTATTTTGGCCACTCCTCCACAATCCCTTTATAACTAGATGCTTTTCAAGGGTTGCTATGGAGGGGGGAGGGGGGAGAGGAGATGGAACATCATTCCATAGGCAACCTTGTGATGAGCCTTTCAAAACATAACTAGGGCAGCCCTTAAACAATAAATAGAGTCAATCACCAGGCCCAGACTCAAAGCCTTGGGAAATGCAGTAATTACAAAAACATTAAAGGAGTACTTCCCAAATATTAAAAATATTCACTCAGTCATACCTTCCAGAACGTTCAAGAGATTAACAGGCATCTCCTGAGAGATAAAAGAGAAATAGGACAAGATTGCTAGGAAAAAACAAATAAATATAAAACCCCTTCTCCAAATGAAAACAAATGAAAACATTAAAACATCTGAGTATTGACATGAACAAACCACTGTGTTCTTGTGGTTTAGGCTGTCACCAAGAGCTCCTCAAATGGAATTATTGGTATATTTCTGATTGGGACCCTTTATACTTTCTGGGTTTTTTTTAAGGTAACCCAAGGAATAATACATAACAGAAAAAAAATATATATATATATATATTTTTTTTTAAGCAACAAGTCATGTGCCAAAACATACAATTGTTTCAGGCTAAAACACTATAATAACACTGAGAAGATATTCTTTAAGGGCTCATAAGCCTAACTTCCTAGAATTCTTGTTCCCCATTTCTCAGACATGGAGAAGATTGATTATGTATCAGAAACAGGCTCTTGAGGAATAGTTATTTTCTATTTTCTACTAACAAGACCTTCTACCTGCTAACTTCCTCTAAAGAGGATTACAACGAGAAAGTGAGCCAGAGGAAATACAAGTTCCTGTTTCAAGAATCAAGACATCAAACTGTATATAGGCCAATACAACAGAAGATCTCTAAAACGTAGTTCTCAAATTTTTTTAATCAACCATTTCAACAAAGCAAAATGTTACTCTTCTCTTAGCACCTCCTACTTATAATGAGAATTAATACAAAGAATAAGTAAAAATAAAAAGGTCACATTGCAATTAAGTTAATCACAAGTAAATGTCAGAAACTAAAGCATAGTGTCATATTGCAAACAATAATATGGGATACTCTTTGAGACCCTGCCCTTCATGGAAGTATTCAGAAAACTAAAGATAAAATGCAGTGCTGGTAGGGCTATGGAGGGGGAAAAAAAAACACTCTTACACTACCGGTAGGCCTGTGGACTGATACAAATATTTTAGAGGATCATTTGCAATACTGCAAACCTTTTCAATATGGATCACAAAAAAAAAAAGAATCAAATCTTATGACCCCGGGATTACACTGCAAAAATTTATCCCTAAAATATTATCATAAAATACCTCCTTTACCACTACCACCCCAATTATAACTACTCTATAATAACCAAAACTTGGGAAGGAGGAACCTAGATGTTCAACAATTGGAGAATGGCTGAAAAAAATATGATAAATTAGTATAATGATAACATAGCATAGTGGATAGAGAGTTAGACTGGGAATCAGGAAGACCTGAATTCAAGTCCTTCCTCTTACAGGCTATTTAATCTCAGATAGATTACAATCAGCCTCCCAGCAGCTTCAAGCAACTCTCTTAAGATTAGTAAACTCTAAGGAGAACTGCTTATCTGCATTAATACTAGAAATCTTACTCTAAATTCCCTATATCAACAAAATATAGATGTGGTCTAAAAATTCATGTCATAGAGTGTTATGGCACCATTTAAAACATTAAACACAATGAATATAAGGAAATACAGGGAGAGCTACAGAAAGAGATGAAGTCATCGAGACCAGAACTATATTCACACTGTAAACTATTTAAAAAATAATAAGAGTAATAAAGACAAATCCAAAGGCAGTAAAACATCAAAAAAGAGAATTTTTTTTCCTTATTTGCTTTTTGTTCACATAATCATCCAATGCCTGAGTTGGAAGGAACCTTAACAGTTAGTAGTAGTAGTACTAGTAGCTAGCATTTACATAGTGTTTTAAGATTTGCACAGCACTTTACAAATATTGTACCACTTTATCCTCACAACTCCAGAGAAATAGGCGATTTTATTGTCTTCATTTTACATGAGGAAACCGAGGTACAGAACTGTTAAGTGATTTGCCCAGTGTCACACAGCTAATAAGTGTCTGCACTCTTACCCGCTACCACCTAGCTGCCTAATTACCTTCCAAGGAAGTCCAATCCACTTTTGGTTATCTTGGGTAAGATGTTTTTCCTTGGAAACAGCCCAAGTCTTTTTTTTTTTTTCTGAAACCACCCACTACTTCTGGTTCTTCCCTCTGGAACCAAGGCTAACCCCTCTTCAAATGACAACTGACATGTCATGCCTCCTTACCCCTAATTTTCTCTTTTCCGGATTAAACATTTCTATGTTCCTTCAACCCAATCTCATTTGGCAAGATCAGAAGGCCCTTAATTATTAAGATTGCTCTCCTCTGGATACTCTCAATGTCTAAGTGGTGGTCCCTGGGACTGAGTACAAATACTGTTCTGACTAGAGCAGAGTGCAGCAAAATCATCAACTCCCTGGTCCTGTTACTATGCCTTTGTTAAAGCAGCCTAGGATCACATTAGCATTTTAAGCTCCCCCATCACACCGCCTCAAACTGAGCTTGTAGTTCTCTAAAATCACAAAACTTCTTTGAGAAAAACTGCAAAACAGGCATGTATTAACTCATATAGTTTTACCAAAAGCTATAGGTTTCATGCAAGACTTTACTCCTTCTTTACTGAGTTGTTTTTATTTTTTAAAAAGTTAAAAAAAGTCGCTTTAAAAAACTCAGCAGTCTGAATATCTAAATATGAAAAGATAAGTATAAGTAGCATTTTCCCTAAACTTATAAAGCTATACAACCCAGTGTTTGTCTTGAGCCACTGTGCTGTTACACAATGTATCAAGGCCACAAAGCCAACTCAGTTAATATGTTTATCATTACATTGTAGTCCTATCTTCTCCAGTGACTATGATATTATCTTTTGAAGCAGTAATAAAAGACCGCTTTTCATTCGTTTGCTTTTGATGGTTCTGTGCTGCTTCTGGATTTTTCCAGTGTACATCTCTTAGAAGCAAATTAAACCAGAATAAGTTGTTCCAACTAATGAAGTAAACTTTTGGCTTATTATCCCGTCAGAACTATACATAGCAATATCAACAATCTTAAGACATCTCAGTTCTTGATTTTTGGTTGTTTTGCGTGTGTGTGTGTGTGGGGGGGGGGATATTGAACTATATGAATTTAAATAAATATCAGCAAAATAGTGCACGACTACGCGAAGGTGGAACCAGTTTAATCCAAAGTGAATCCAGTTGTTAAAACACCTGCCTTTTTCTTTTAAGATGCATTGATAATACTGAGTGACGAAAAGTTGCACTTCAGATCCCTACATTTCAAATCCTTACACCTACGCTGTGTGCATGTGTGGGTCTATGAAAATCTGAAAGAGGGGGTCCAGTCCATCCTTAAATCACATAACAGTTTTTCACACACCAACACATGCCTAGTGTAATCACTTCTCAGAAATGCTAGCCATGCAATTGAAAGTGACGCAAGCTCCCAAACACTTTCCATCCAAGATCCACAACCCACCCACTCTTCTTCAAACATTTCCGAAAGGAACCTCTGAATCGAAACCCGAGCTTGAAAAGTCTCTGAAGTTTAAACCCCACCAACAGAACCCTCGGGGTAATTAGGGTACAGGCTACCAACCTTAAACAAAAAAAGGGAAAGAAAACAAAGAAACACAATACAAACAAAACCCGACAGAAGAAAATAAAATTGTAAACAATCACAGCCTGGAGACTCTGCAGCCCCACAAGTGGTTGGGTTTCAGGTGGATGCCTCTCCCCTGGGACGGGAAGCGGGAGTGAGTTGATAGTCCCTATTCGAGATGAAAAGGCTGCAAAGCCTGGCAGCTGACAGAAGCCAGGACTAGTTGGCAAAACTGATTTTCTAAAGGGGTGGCATTTGTGCGACCTTCCCATTGCACATCTGCGGGCGCAGCCTTCTCGCTCCCTCCCCTCTCCACTCCCCCGTCCCTGCAAACAGCTCCCCCTCCCCTCCCCTTCCCCCACCTCCCGGAGCATTTGTAAACACCCTGGGCCCGTCCGCCCATTCACTCCCACCCCCCTTTTCTGTCGGTGGGCCCCAGTTATGCTTTCTTTCGAGATCCGCGCCTCACTGGGAGCGGGAGGAAGGGGGCTCCTGCCCTCTTTACAAAACGCTTCCCTCCCGACAACACTCGCACCACCCCCCAGCCCGCGCCCGCGGGACCCTCTTCTCACCTCCGCGGGCCTCGGGACTCCCTCGTTCCCTCCCTCCGCCAGGCCCCTCGGGGTTCCCCCCCCTCAGCGCCCCTGCCCCCTCCGCGCGGTGCTCGGGCTGCTGACAGGAGCGGGAGGGACCCCGGCGGCCAGGGCTGGGGGGCAGCTGCGGCGCTCACCTGGCTGAGCCTAAGCGGGGGGCCGCGCGCCCGGGTCCCGGCGCTCGCGCTCCGCAGGCGGCGACAGGACGAGGCCCCGGCGGCCCCCGCGGCGGCGGCAGCAGCAGGGGCAGGGACAGACCAGCGCGCGCGGACGCCGGAGCAACTGACTCCAGACAGCCGGGGACCGCGCGCGCGCGCGCGCGCGCGCGCGTGGAATAGCTCCGACTTGGTGGGGAAGGGAGGGAGGAGGAGAGAGGGGAGGGCCGGGAAGGACGGGCACGCGCACTCGGGGGTTAGGATGGCCGGGTGGCGGTGGTGGGGGCTGTGGGGAAGGGGTTGGTACAGTGTAGACAGACCAGAAGGAGGCAAGAACTATTGATGATGAATCTTAAACAGGGAGGGAAGGGAGGGCGGGGCGAGAGCTGGGGCGGAGCTGTCAATAACAAGGAAAGAGCAGCGTGAGGGCTGGCCGACGTCATTGGGAACTAAGGACGGCTAGAGGAAAGGGGGAGGGTGTGTCCCTTAGGCGCATGCGCTGCCCTACTGTTCTACACCACGTGGTAGACTCCCTGGCTTCGGAACTGTGGAAGCCGAGTTGGAAGGTCCGCGGTCCAGCTGCTTGTTTCCTAGAGGACCTCGCCTAGGCTAGGCCAGGCCAGGCCAGGCAATGGAGCAGGACGGCCTGTACTAAAGCAGTGCCGTAGAAACTGTTCTGGATCTGGCGTCAGGGAACCGTGATATGAATCCTTGGCTCGTCTACTAACTTCCAGTGTAATCTGGGCAAGTCAGTTAATTGGTCTGGACCTCAGTTTACTCATCTGTAAAATGAGGGTGGACTTCAGGGCTTTTCTAGCTCAAAAATTACAAGTCTGTGAACTCCAGGGAAGGACCCTGATCAATAACTCCAGCACTTGTCAAAGTTCAGACAAGTAATCCTTTTTATTTCATCTACTCTCCCCTAATTTCCCAAATGATCAGCATAAATTCTAAATCCTGTAATATAGTCCCCTCATTCATAAATGAGTAAACTGAGACTTAGAATTGTTAGGTGAGTTGGCCAAGGTTGTACAGCTAGTACAGTCAAAGCCAGGTTTCTAACCTATGCCGTCTGGTTTCCAAATCAATACCCCAACCAGAAGAAACTGGCTGATAAATTCTTGTCTTTGCCGTCTCTGTTCTTGAAAGCTTTTCTATCAGCCTTGACCATACCAAGAAATTGCAGGTCCATTCTTATAAATCCCTGGGCTAGTATCACATAAATTCTCTGTCTTCCAGCCTTTGCCATACTTTCCAAGTCATTTCACCTGTTACAGAACCTAGAAGTACCCACCCCACTTAACAATCAGAGGTGTCAGAATGGAAGGGATTTTATAGAGATAATCTAGTCCTGCCCCTTGTTTTGCATAGGAGGATGCTGGATACTCAGGTACTTGGGCAACTTGGAACAGCTAGATGCCCAATTGGATAAAATGCCTGGCCTTATCTTGGTGAGTTCAAAGCTGACTCCTCACACTTACTATCTGTGTGATCCTGGGCAAGTCATTTGATTCTGGTAGCCTCAGTTTTCTCATCTGTAAAGTGAGCTAGAGAAGGAAATGGTAAACCACTCCAGTCTGTTTCCCAAGAAAACCCCAAATGGGGTCAGGAAGACGGAATAAACAAACTACTGAACAATAATTTGGGCAAGTTGAATAACCTGGTCAATACATCTAAGTGGCAAGTAGTAGTGCCAGGATTCAATCCAGATCACCTTGCTCCAAATCCAGTGCTGCTATGGTACGCTGCTTCGTGGGGAGGATGATGTGATTATTCATACAGGCTACTCTTTCTAGTTAAGTGAATCAGTATCACGTTAATTTTTAAAGCCACAGAGCTATGTTATAATGACTGAGTTTGGTAACTGGCCTCCCTGTCTCAAGTCTCTCAGAACTCCAATCCCATCAATACACTACAGCCAAAGTAATTTTCTCTAAAGCACAAATCTGACCAGATGACCCTCTACTCAACCAATTTCAGTGGCTTCCTAATTCCTCTAGGATAAATGTAAACTCTTCTGTTTAGCTTTTAATGCCTTGTACAATCTGTATGCCAGCTATTTTTTCCAGCGTCATTGTATATTACTCCCCATCCCACACACTGTGATCTAGTCAAACTGACCTCCTCTTTGTTCCTCACTCACCCATTTCCTCTCACTGTGCCTTTGCAGTAGTCATCCCCCATGCTTGGAATACCCTCCCTCTATCCTATTCTCTTATACCTATCCTCTTTCTTTTTTTTTTTTACCTTATATCCTCCTTAAAAATCTGTTTTGCTTCTAACCACTGCTTCCCTTATACCTTTCTTCTTATCCCCTTCAACCTCTCCCTCCTACTTCACTGTTGGGTAAGATGAATTTCTGTACACACATGTGTACATATGGGTATTCTTCCCTCCTTGAACCTGTTCAGATGAGAGTGAGGTTCATGAGTTGTTGGCTACCTCCTTCCCCCCCCACTGTATAAACTTTTCCTTATATACCCCACTTATGTGAAATAATTTGCCCCCATCCCCCATCCTTCCTTTCCTTTCCCTTTTTTCACAGTGCATCCCTCTTTCTCACCCTTCCCTCTTCCTCCTCCTCCTCCTCCTCCTCCTCCTTCTGGTGAGACAATCAGTGTTAAGTGACTTGCCCAGGATCATACAGCTAATAAGTGTCAAGTGTCTGAGGTCACATTTGAACTCAGGTCCTCCTGACTCCAAGGCCAGAGCTCTATCCACTGCTCCACCTAGCTGCCCCCCATTCTTCTTTTGAGATCTTCTCAATATTAATACAGTCATGTCCAGATCCTGTAAGTAAACTCCCCCTAAAGACTTGTGGGTAATAAAAGTTCTGAGGGGTTACATGTATCACCTTCTCATATAAGAATGTAAACACTTTGACCTTGTTTAGTCACACTAATGCAGCTATAGTCTTTTAATCAGGAATAGGTGAAAGTCTTCTATTTCACTAAATATCATTTTTTCCCCTCTGTAGGATTGGTATTCACTTTTGCTGGGTAGGTTATTCTTGGTTGTAATCCTAGCTCCTTTGCTTTCTGGAATATCATATTCCAAACCCTCTACTTCTTTACAATGGTAGCTGCTAAAACTTGTGTAATCTTAACTGTGGCTCCATGGAATTTGAATGATTTCCTTCTGGCTATTTTCAATATTTTCTCCTCTAGTTCTGGATCTTGCCTATAAAATTCCTGGGATTTTTCATTTTGGGATTTTTTTTCAGGAGATGATCAGTGGATTCTTTAAATTTCTATTTTGTCTTCTAGTTCTAAGATATCTGGACAGTTTTCCTTTATAATTTCTTGAAATATGATGTCGATTCTTTTTGTTGTTGTTGTTCCTGGCTTTCAGGTAATCTGATGATTTTTAAATTCTCTTTCATTTATTTTATAGGTCAGTTTTCCCCTTATATTTTGCATTTCCTTCTTTTCCCCAGTCTTTTGACTTTGTTTTATTGTTTCTCAGTGTCTCATAGAGTCATTAGCTTTCACTGTGCCAATTCTAATTTTTAGGGAGTTATTTTCTTCAGTATTGTTTCATACCTCTTTTGCCAAGCTGTTAATTCTCTTTTCATAATTTTCTTTTCACATTTTCCCACTACTCTTTTTATTTGATTGTTAAAATCATTTTTTCTTCTTTATCTCTTTATTCTAGGAATTCTTTTTTTTTTTAGGCAATTGGGGTTAAGTGACTTGCCCAGGGTCACACAGCTAGTAAGTGTCAAGTGTTTGGTCTGAGCCCGGATTTGAACTCAGGTCCTCCTGACTTCAGGGCTGGTGTTCAATCCACTGTGTCATCTAGCTGCCCCCTTCTAGGATTCTTATTGGGCTTATGTCTAATCTGTATTTTTTCTTTGAGGCTTTACTTGAAGATGTTTTCAAGTTATTGTCTTTTTCTGTGTTTGGGTCTTGAGCTTCCTTGTCACCATAGTAGCTTTTTGTGGTCAGGTTCTTTTTTTTCTTTGCTCATTTTTTCCAGCCCATTTCTTGATTTTGGACTTTATGTTAATACTGGGTGGGTTCTGCTCACTTCTGGGAGAGATGAACTTCCATTTTTATTTATTCTACTGCAGGTTTATGTGGTGGACTTAAGGTTAAAACTCAGTCTCCACCCTGTTCATGGGCTTAGAGCTACACAGATATGTTTGTGGTTCTTGCTCCTTACATGGGTAGGGTCCCTGCTCCATTGGGAACCATTCCTTTCTGCTGTGGAGCTATGACCATCAACTGGTTAATGGGATGACAGTTTCCTGCTTCCAGTGCCAGTAAAGGGATCATCTCTTTCTGATCATTTACTTCTTGCCCAGGTGTTAAGTCCTTTTGCCATCTCTGGGTGATGGAATGCTCCCTGCTGCATTCCTTGCTAGCCCATGTCAGCATCTACAATCCTCTCTATCTTCCTAAGCAGCCCTAAGCTGAAATATGACTGACTGTGACTTTTTCTTAATTTTTCCAATCAGAATTCAGTTTGATGTGTTTTCTAAGTTGTTCTACAGAAGGTTGTGGAGGAGGTAAGGCAAAATTTCTACGTCTTACCCAGTATCTTCACTCTACCCCTTTCAGGTATAGTCTAATCTGTAAAACTCTTAATTTGTTTGATATCTGCTTGAATAAATAGGTTTACTTGCTGTTTACTATTTGTAATTGTCTTTTTTATGACTAGCATTTGGTGGAAAGGAATCAAACCCACAGGCATAAGTTTGGGTTAACCTCCTCCTTTAGGGGAGAATAGCAGGGAAGTTAGCTGCTTTTTTGCTTTTGAACCTAAAAATTATGCCCCTACACCAGTGGAATGGTAGATGGAAATAAATAGAAATGCATCAAAGAGAAAGATTTCTGCAGTACCCATATTGACTTAGAAAACCACAAATTAACATTATCTACTTTGTATTATATTTTTATTTATTTTATTAAACATTTCCCAAC